ATGAATGGATTTATATATATAGGAATTAAAATGAATAGATGAGACGGATGAATAAGCAAAAAAAAAAAACCACATAAACAAATAAAAAAACAAACAACATCATCTTTCCTACCTTGACATCTCCTTCAAAKCCTATCGTCCTCTCGATAGWWARTGGCAACGTAYKTGTCTTGCCAGTGTCCGGTTCATCGATAGTTCTGTGCGAAGTGTCTTTAAATTTGAAGATTCCGTTAGGGAAACCGTACTTCAGCACTGTGATGGTGATATTTGACSTCAACACATCAATGTCAGCTCCACCAGTAGCATCGTGCAGCTTTATGCGGTATATTTCTTCCGGYTCCGGACCTGTCAAATTAAGTACATATTATAAGCTCAYCTCTCGTTATAACGWACACCTCCGMGACTGTAATTAAGTGYCCGTTATAGMGAGTKTCCGTTGTAAAGGGAGTTATTTCAAATTATTTTAAGTGTCGAGTGTCAACAGAGTTGTCTCAAAACKTCATAACTGTTGGTTGTTCCTAACCCCTTCCCCTCGCTMTGGGGCAGTGTCCAACCMGWCTACCATTACCTTGATAAGCGTCCAGTCTGATGGTAAGAAATTGCGTTGCTTTATCGCCGTTTTYGTAGCTCAKYGTGTCACGATATTTCGGGAAGAAATCTAATGACAGGTTGCCATCGGTAGGCTTCACTCGCATAAGTTGCCATTTGACCTGAAGAAACACATGGCAACTTACTAAAATTAACAATAAATTAATAATAATAAATTTTCTCATATAAATTATTGTCATGATGACGTCATTTTYTGCCGAAGTGCATCATGGTTCTTTGATAAAAGTATCAAGATGACGGCCATCTTGTAAAAAACATCGAAGGACAAAGTTTCTGGAAAAATAAATTCTATGTTGTCGAGAAAACTTTCAAAACACATGAAATGAGATAACTGCATACAGTTCCTGCCAAGAGAACTGTCTGTGAGAAATAAAAAGCTTCTTTGTCGAAAAATAGACTGAAATACACCAACATGGCTTCAGTGTGCTGTACTTTCGTCAATCCCATAATGCTTGTTTCGGACAAAGCATGACGTAACACGTGAGAGAATTTCTGTCTATTTTACCGTGATTGCCCCTTGCGCTCCACCATTTCTAGCAACACCAAACGTCAACGACTGTGTTACATTGGGATTGGGTAGCACTAGCTCWGTAGCGTTGACAAATCCCAGAAGACCACTTGGGTTGTCACTTATAACAATGATAACATTCGCTGACTTCTTTGTACCAAGAGAAGCTCCACCTGTAACTGATTTTAAGGTAACCATGAAAGTTTCTTGCTGTTCTGGGTCTGAATCATCGATGATTGGTATTGTTATATTGGCATCTTTTTGATTTTCAGTAAAGATAACTGATCCCTTGGAAGTGCCATAGTCTTTCCCGAAGGTTGCTGTTCCATTGTGAACGTCGAAGAAAACTTCTACTGTTCCTAAGGTACCTCCTGGATTAAAACAAGAAGCGARAGAATATTGTTAGAGAACTCATACAAATGGTAATGTTGAGGTACAGTCAACTCTCTCGTAAGCGACCACCTCGGGATCARGAGAAAGTGGTCGSTTACGAGAGATGGTCGYTTACGAGAGAGTTKTTTTTTACAGAGTWTATATGGGAAACAATTAWRACGGRMAATTTAAAAGGTGGTCGCTATCGGGAGATGGTCGTTTACGAGAGTGGTCGTTCAAAGAGAGTCAACTGTATATCGGTGTCGTCGAGTTGAGGTGTCGTATATTGTATATCGYAGTATCGATAAATCTCGCCTTACCTTTCCTCTCTAACATCAACACGACACGTTTATCCTCTTCGTGGATAGTTTTGCTGGTGTCTATAAACTGAATCACGCCGTGAGCATTGTCGTTCTTTAGTATATTGATCGTAACGGCATTTTGACTTCCAACTTTTGGYGGTTCGTCTGRCTGAAGGCCATTSATAATRGTATAGTTCATRACACGCGTTGGGACCAGTTCGACACTTTGAATACGAACGCCAATTGTCTCTGYAAGTTCGGGGCCTTCGTCGTTGAATATTTGGATGGAGACTTTTTTCTGCCGTTCTTTATCAGAGAAATCAAGATCTTGAAAAGAAATAATAATATTTAAGTACGTTCTCATTAACTCAATAAATCAACCAACCAATCTTCCAACCAACCAACCGATCAATCAATCATTCGTCAAATCAATCAATCAATAAATTATTTAATCAATTAATTAATCAATTAATCAATCAATCACTCACTCACTCAATCAATCAACCAATCTTCCAACCAATCAATCACTCATTCATTCATAAATTGAGTAAGTTACTCACGAGTATTTGAAATGGCAAAGTCCGTTCCTTCGGAAGCTGATCCAGATAACGTCAAATTGACTTTCAGATGTCCTATATCTCCCTGATTTCTAATTATTGTCAAATTCACAAATCCAATATCCTCTGAAACGTTATATGACTGAGGGGAATTGAAGTCGATAAGCCCATACGGGGAATCACTAGCCGCGACATCGATTGTGGCTTCAAGGATCCCAGTAGAATTATCATCTATTCCTTTTCTACCATCTATTTTGAACAGGTAGGAGGCAAACTCCTCRGGGTTTTGGTCTTGTTTGACCTGAGATMAAAAAGATCCAAAAATCAATGAATTTATTAAGATGAAATGTTTGAAAATKAACAGAAAGAGATAAAGGGAAATTAGAATGAAAAAA